TGTTTTTTTTTTATCAGGGCACAAAAAATATAATTGTTTTTTTTCATATATATGATGACCAATGTATCGATTTAACCTTTAGCTTGAAAGGTGATAGGGGCCTACGTAATGACGAAAATTGATAAACGGTCCCGGGCATACGGGATACCGGGATTTTTCTGGATCACTGTTGTGACACGTGACCGCGTTAAATGAATTATCTTCTCCTATTTATATTGGCTAGTGCATAGTATTTTGATACTATCAAAACCAGAAATGTTGTGTTATCTATGACGATCGAGTAGACCTGAAATAGTGCGTAAGTTATGAATGAGCAAAAAATATCAACGCCTGAATCCCAGGCTACCAATCTCCTAAAGTATTGGCTTATATAACTGGAAGTAAAGGAAAGTAACTCGGTTGCACGATTTACACAGTACACACTTCTACAAGTACAGGGTATGGTTTTTTTGGGTTTTCTTTGCAAATGGAAATGACGGAAATTGAATCACAATGATATATCAAATATCATATAATAAACACATTTACATGAAGTACTTCATTCGTTAAGAAATGAGCATAACAAAACAAGTAAGATAAACGATTGTCCAATAGTTCTTATGATACACAGATAAAAATCAGATAAAAAATGAACCTTATAATAACAGGATCAATGAGTAATTGACATTTAGACTTTTTAAACGAAACCTTCCTTATTTTATTGTCCTTATCTACTTCATTATAGATTTATACATTAACACAACATTCTCATTAATATTTATAGAACATAAATCACAATCGCCATCTCGAAATTAGCATTTTATGACGGATGAGAGAGAAGAAAATGACTAAATGTATCTCGAGTTATGGCAAAGAAGACATTGTCTACCTTATTCCGATAATGTAAGTTCTCTACATAATTGGATAATAAAATTCCGTGAAATCGCGTTTATTATACTCAGATACTTGATACAGCTCTTTATCAGCCTTCTGTTATTTGTCAGAAGACAAATGAAATTATTTTTTCCCAAGGGTTAGTATAAGTAGGATTCTAAAAAATATGAAAAATACGATCAACATGATAGGGCGGCGTTCATTGTTAAATCTGTTGTAATATGTTGAGGGTTTTCTTTTTCCTCTTGTTTTTAGTGGGATCTGATTGGTAATAACTAAGCTTTCATGTGGATGAGCTAAATTTTGCCTGAATCATTTGAACTATGTGTCAACCGAAAGCTACGTTTTTGATTCATTTGTTGAGTAAAAAATAAAAATTTGCATATGAAATTTGAAGAAGAATTTGAAAGTTACTAATATGTAGATAAATTAAACAGAAGAATTCGAGTATAACATACATGTAGATAAATTAAACAGAATAGGCCTATACTTTTCTCATTAACTATTTTAACTGTGGATGCAATATATTAGATTTGAAAGTTACTATCACAAATCTTAGCTATATTTTTACAATCTTTTAAATGAAAACAGTCGTTTTTCTTAGCTTCTAATCTTTTTAGAATGTAATGTACGTGTATGAAACATTAATAATAAGGTGTTGCGCTTCCACGATGGGTGTCATTACCTTAATTAAGAAAGTTAAAACGCTAAAAATTTCGACTTTAATAAACGAGTACATGCATATATTGTTTTAATCTGATTTTCAATTGACTTGTTCTTGCACGTACAATTCTGTATTTTTATATCCGTAATTTGAGCTGTTATGAACCTTGCACATTTAAATTCGTTCTATTTTGGTTGCTTGGGTTTTGGGGTTTTTTTTGTATTCTTGATATAAGATAAGCATCAGTAATAATAATATCATATATGTTGTATAAATTTATTATTATTATCATCAATTACATTTCAAATATTATATCAAAAGCTGAGACATTTTGGTATCTTCTCTTTATACATCTCTAAATATAATAATAATACTCTGAAAGGACATATGCGCCATTACATATCAAACACAATGGGGGTTCAATGATATAAATGTTAGAGTAAATTTCGAATTTCAGCAATTTATAAATTGCCATACAGCAAGCATGTTTTGGTTTATAATACTGCAATATGCAAATTATACCTGTACACTTACCAACAGAGGGTGTTAATACAATATAGAAAGTGTACGTGTACATTGCAACGGTATGTAATGATGGGTTGGTCTACTTTCTTATCATTTAACCATGATTCAAATGTATTGTATTAACCAGTGCCATTACAAAACGTATATGGTACGAATGATTTTAACTGTTTTTTTCTTCTTCTTTTTTTGTTTGCAACCCAATTAATAAACATAGTGTTATCTGTTCTTAAACCAAACAATCGTGCATGTATTTGAAATGCTTCTAAGTGACAGTATGCCCATCAAATGATAGATTGTGAGTAAATATGTGAAAAACAAGATAAATTTATATTTTGCCATAATTCCTTTCAATCTTAAAGAAATTTCTATAAATATCCATCCGCATTTTCCTGAAACGTTTCGATTGATAAAAAACAGTGGGGCAATCTTTTTTGTATATTTAAGGCATATTTATATTTCATCCTAAACGTTCTTCAATATCAACTGTTGGTCAGCCTCCACTATAACAGACAATCTTTTGAAATATATTGTCAAGTCAGCACAACTTGCAAATTTACAAAACGAGCATAATGTCACTTTAATTCGAAATGAAATACTTCTTCAAACTTGACGAGGAAATGTTTTTGCGATATGAATGTTGTCTTTTTTTTAATTTAAAAAAGACAGTTGAAAGTTTCAACTGAAATAAATCCATTTTTTTATAATAATTAACGGAATTGGCGTTTAAATGGATTCTGAAAGTTTTTTTAAGTAGATAATATTTTGAAAATTATGTCTTTGTAAGTAATTAATGAGCAATAGTTTGTTTATAACTCTTTAAAGGATCACATTTTTTCAAGTAGCTTAGCGAGATCATTTGGAGACTTAACAAGCCGTGGACCACGTCTTGTTGACTGTACTACAGGCTGTCGAACCTGATCTGGCGCTTTTTCTCTTGGCATGCTAGGCTTGTGTCCCAGCAAAAGCAGTATATTGTCTACTGTATCACAGAGTTGGTTTTCGAAGTTTTGCATGCGACTGAAATACAAAAGAATACAGGCTACAACAGCTGTAAATCTTTAAACTATTTAAACCTGATTTTAAAGATATAGCTCTTAAATGTATAAACCTTTATCTCTGTCATGTTTACAGAAAGATTGCCGATGTCACGATAACTAAATTACATCTTTATATTGATTTAAGCAAATAACAATAATTCCATATTCTTTAAAAAGGAAAGTGACTGCTTTCAGTCAGTGAAAGATAGGAAATGTCACGATTATTTGACTTAAACAAACATGATTATATTATTGGCGCCGCGCCGAAGCGCGGCGCTCTTTATGGAATGAAATCAGATTTTGTGAAAGGGCGACAGCAACTTCTCGAGCCTTTTAGTCGGTCTTGATAAAAGCCGATCATTCCGAGCGGTATGAGGGTGCTTGATTATTAATTAAAAATGAAATGTCGCGATATGTACAATGAATAGCGAACTGGAAAATTTCGCAATGCAAACATTTTCAAATGAAATAACCTTTTCCGTCAATAATAAGCGCTCTTCGGCGTTTTTTTATTCATCATTTTGTAGTACACAGTTGGTTATTATGGTATGTTATTGTTTTACATGTATATAGAATGATGAGTGGATGACCTAAACATTCCGAAAATCTATTTATAGAGGGATGTACTCCTATCGGTAAACCCCGGTCTTTCCCGGTCTATTTTGACCAGGATTTACTAGTGATATCACACGTTTCTTGTATTAATATTGAAATCGGATTGAACAAGATACAAAGTTGGAGCAGTACCTCTAGACGATTTCATAAGTCATGATCACAAAGAAGACAAATATCGTTTTTTTCGCCGATTCTTTACATTTTTTATTTATTGTCGTATAAGTATTGGTGTGAACGTTTTAAAGTTCATGGGTGGAAAGGCGTGATTTGAGCATGTAAGAGCCTTGTCCGGTATATATCGGAATACAGTTTTTAGTGTGGTGCTCCAATCTTTTTTTTGATCTCACTCATTGAAATCTAGTAGTTGTACAAATATTCTTGAGTATTTATCATTTTTGTATAATTTATTATGTCAGTCAATCACTAAATTGACAACCTCAAAACTTAAAAGAACCCTAGTCATTTCCATAATTTTTTAACTAATTTTTTAACTAATTAATTTTTAAACATAAACTGTTAAATAAGTAAAGAATTTATTTTCATTACTTTGCTAACTGGTTGAGCTTGTTATCAATATCTTCGAGATTGGACTGTGAGATATTTCGCGCGCCCCCTGGTGGCGCCGTATCACTTGTGTCCCAGGACTGTGGCCGACTGCTAGACGGTGCTGTCCCATCAGATGTGTCCCATGAAAATCTGTTTGTACCAACCGATGCGGTCATGGGCATTGAAGTACTGGCTGCAAATATTGGAATTTATTTCATTTTTAAAAAAATCTTAAAGGAAAACGCAAAATTCAGTTTAAAACCAAATAACTTCTTATGAATATCATCTTTAAAATTATTTTTTTCTGATATTCAAATGCTCCATGATTCTATCTTAAACAAGAATTTAATATTAAAAGTGTTTAAATTATAAAGATTGAAGACGATTTTGTATAGATTATGCACATATTAAATGTTTAAATATATTTTGTTAAGTTTGTTTGGAGATACAGTGAACATATATATTAACGTTTTCCACATTACTTTGAATTTTTATATAAAATTTTATTTGTGAAAATCATGCCAATGTATGAACTGATTATGTGAGGAAGCTATCCAACTAGCTAAAGGAACGTCGGCTGTTCTACTCAGGTGCTTAAAATAATGCACGAAGGGGCACCTGATGCTTTTTTCAACCAGTGAAAATGAATAAGTCGTGATATGACCATTACAATGCTAGAGAAAGAAATATGCAATCCCAAAAACTGCATTTATCTTAACTAACTTGTATCAGCAGATGTGGTCCGGCTATGTCCCGGTGATTGCTCGGACGCTTTGACGGAAGTTCGTTTCCTTGAACTTGATTCTGGAATAAATATATTGTTTTGCCTGTGTTTCAAATGATAATAAAGCAGAATAGATTGCTTTCCTATTTGTGGTCATGAATATTTTATATACATAGGGATACTGAATGAATGTTATATTATGCCAGCATAATATTATTTTATTCAACTCGTTCAATACATTCAGTAATGAACCTACACGAATATAATATTCTATTTATCACATACCTACAATTAAGACTGTTTAAAGTGAAAAATTAATCAGTTTTCGGTGACGCGCCTATAGTTTAACGAGAACATTAAGCTCGTCTTCACACTATGTGTATAACGCAATATACATGTACATGTATGCGCGATCGTGCAATACCATATTGATCGAGTCGCAAAATCGGCACAGGTATGTAATAAACATCGTTATATGGTAATAATGAAAATGATTACTAAACTGACATTCTTTGCAGAATGTCACTTCTGTTAGAAAAAATTGAATACTCATATAGTAAGTTTGGTTGATAACAACATCGAGAAAAAAAACATCATTCAAAAGTGGTTTTAAGTAAAAGGTTTTCACTTTCTTAAATTTGAAAGGAATTACTCGATTGAGATTCTCCTTAAAATTTTGTAATGAAATCATTGATGAAGAATTTCAAGATTGGTGCGTATGCTGACAAAGGTCTTTTGTATAATAAAGTCTATAAAATGCTTTAAAGTAATGTACAATTTTCAACAGGTGTACGCAACTCTCTCACTGAACAAATTAACAGGTTTAAAATAGAGATAAATTAAGAATCCCAAAAGAAAGCCCAAGACAAAATTGAAAATGTTGCAGGCTCAGTTTGATTGAGCCTGTTCATGGAGGTAATGGAAAGTGCAAGTTACCGTTCACGCCCCTAGCACCGGCTTGAGCAAAATTTAACATTTAATCATGGTAATGGTGAAATTTTGAATTTAGAAACACCCGCAGATGTGTACATACGGTGGTTATCTGTGACACAGCAGTGCCATTCCATGAAAGGCGGCGTATGGTCCCAAAGTAAAAAAAATGCGTGTGCTCTAAACGAGAAAACAATGGGCAGAACTAAATAAAATGGAATTTTGACAGGGGATCAGCGGTTATGAAGCCTGCATATCACAGATAGGACGTCAAAAGACAAATTTAAAAAGCAGGCAACATCTCCTAAGGATGATTCAACATTATTCAAGTAGGAATACTAGAACCACCCAACAAGAAAAATGCCAAAAAGTAAAAAATAAAAGTACCACAAACACAAAGCGGCCTTCAGCTTTTCTAAGGTTAAATATGTTATTTTTAGATAAATCGTTTCATGTAATTATCAAATCGAAATGATTAAGGTTTCAAATTAAATTTGTCGTCGATAAAGTACATTGACAATAAAGAAACCCTTCGATACCTCTATCTTCTTGTCCGATCTCTATATGTAAATTTTTATCGAGGAAGATTCGTTTCCCAATCTCCTATTTTCAGAAACGAATGTCACTGCGCGCTATAAAAAGCTCTCGTAGGACTGTTTTGAACAAGGCTTAACAGTGAGTTGATGCATTTTTCCTAGGTCATATTACTGAAAAACTTTGTTTGAAACAGCAAAGAATGTTAATCAAACCAATAAAGAAATGCTGAAGACCGCTTTAAACGACATCTCATAGAACCAATACTTTTTAAAGATCTGTCTTTAAATGCTGTATTAATATCACTGTAAGCTTGTTGAGGAGATATCTCAAACGCTTTTGATGTCGGTTCTTCCTCACCCATTTGTGGTCCCGCCCCCGTCATACGTCTTCGCCAGGCAGAACGCCCGGTCCGCACTAAATAGTTCATGATTTACATTAAAATTTACACAGTGTCTCCATTTTTGAAATCAGTGTACAGTATATAACGTTTTCATATATTGAAATCAAATATTTCTTTTATACACAGTTAAAAGAAAAGGTTGTGTGATCAACATAGCAACTACTACGTATTTGGGACTGATATGAAAATTACCTGAAAACTTTTGAAAGCATGTCAATACATGTATATAGCAAAGAAAGAGTAGTAACTATTAATCAATTATGCAATTGGATATTAAAAAAACTGGAAATACAATTAATTAAATCACTGTTACGAATATATCAACTTTACCCTCGTTTTCGGCTTTTCGTCCCTTTGATTGCATGTGCGGTCTTTTCTGACGTATAAATCTTAACGTCTCATCATCAATCTTTGATTTCTTCCTGGTTTCAACCAATGTGCCCTAAACATAGACGATAAAAGATAAAAACTCAACCAAAGTGGCCTTAATAAAGACCAAAAACGATAAAAAAAAGTCAATCAAAATGTCCTAAATAGAGAGCAAATAAAGGTAAAAAACTCAACCAATATGCCAAAAACATAAACCAAACAACGGTAGAAAAAATTAACCAGTGTCCTAAATATCGACCAAATGATAAAATCTCATCCAAAGTGTCCAAACATAGACCAAACAACGATAGACGCCCCAAACATATACCAAACAACGGTAAACAAGAGGGCCATGATGGCCCTGAAGTCGCTCACCTGTATATAGGCCCCCCCGGAGCGGGGCAAGTTTAAACCCCAGGGCTTTTATTTGAATAAACTTGGTAGACACCCATTAGAAGATGTTTCATGCTAAACATCTAAGGTCTAGTTTGTTGGGTTTTTTAAAAAAAAGAGTTTTTAAGTTTTTTCTTTACACATATACTAGTATTTAAAAACAATGACACTCCTGGGGCAGGGCCAGTTTTGACCCCAGGGCTTTTATTTGAACAATTTTTGTAGACACTTACTAGAAGATGCTTCATGCTTAATATCTAAACTCTAGCTATTCGGGTTATTTCCAAGAAGATTTTTAAAATTTGCTATACACATATAAGGAAAATCAATGTCCCCCGGGGCGGGGCCAATTTTGACCCCAGGGCTCTTAGTTGAACAAACTTGGTAGACATCCATTAGAACATGATTCATGCTAAATATCTTAGCTCTAGCTCTTTGGGTTCTTTAAAAGAAGATTTTTAAGTTTTTACTATATTCATATAGGGAAAATCAATGACCCCCCTGGGGCGGGGCCAATTTTGACCCCAGGGCTCTTATTTGAACAAACTTGGTAGACATCCATTAGAACATGATTCATGCTAAATATCTTAGCTCTAGCTCTTTGGGTTCTTTAAAAGAAGATTTTTAAGTTTTTACTATATGCATATAGGAAAAATCAATGACCCCCTGGGGCGGGGCCAATTTTGATCCAAGGGCTTTTATTTGAACAAACTTGGTAGACACCCATTAGAAGATGTTTCATGCTAAATATCTTAGCTCTAGCTCGTTTGGTTCTTTAAAAGAAGATTTTAAAAGTTTTTACTATATACATATAGGGAAAATCAATGACCCCCTGGGGCGGGGCTAATTTTGACCCCAGGGCTTTTATTTGAACAAACTTGGTAGACACTCAGTAGAAGATGTTTCATGCCAAATATCTAAGCTCTAGCTCTTTTGGTTTTTTAGAAGATGATATTTAAAGTTGTTTTGCATGGAATTAAATTCTTTGAACAATTTTCAAAGGTGACCACCAAAGGAACATTCCTGTGAAGTTTGGATGAAATTGGCTCAGTGGTTTATGAGGAGATGTCATTTAAAGTAAAAGTTTACGGACGACGGACGGACGCCGGACGAAAAGCGATCACAAAAGCTAAAAAAAATTAACCAATGTACCCTAAACATAGACCAAACAACGATAAAAACTTAACCAAAGTGTCGTATAGATCAATTAATGTTAAAACTCAACCAATGTGCTCTAAATTTAGACCAAACAACGATAAAATTTCACCCAATGTGCTCAAACATGGACCAAATAACGAGAAAAACTCAAGAACCCATGTAGCCTTTACATAGACCAAACAACGATAAAATGTCAACTTGGCGCTGAGAAGCGTCCTTCTTACCGATACTTTTTACAAAAATACAAGGATACATTAATATTAAATAGAATTGGAAATCATAAGATATTATACAGATAACATACCCGTTTTAGGTTAAAGGTAACCTGTATCTTATCCATAAACTCCTTTTCAAATTCCGGGTAGCTTGTTAAAGTTTCTTTAAGCACGTGAAGCTCGATCTTGTTTATATCACAGTAACTAAGAGCACGGACAAAGTAGAACGATTTACCCGAGCATTCCAGGTCATTCAGGTCGCCGCCGAATATGTCATCTTTCCCTGCAACAAAGGACAATACAGCGTTTAAGGAAACTATGAACTTATGTACTATGTACCTATGAGATACCTTGCCCGCTGGCGCCACGGCTGCTCCCTGCTTCTACCAAGCCGGAACGTCCCTGGTTTTCAATAGTAATATCAGATAATATGTATCATGTTTTTTTATAAATAAAACCTTGGTGTGAAACTTTATACTATCTATAGAGATATCGAGTAATGGATCAATAAAATTATACGACATAGTCTAAATAACTTAATAATTTACAAGTTAAATTTTTAAACTATTATATTTAGGAGATAAAAATCATCATGAAACAAAGAATATATGTAACATATATTCGCGATATTTGTTAAATAAATATTGTACTTAATAGTATGCTTTTGAGTGTATAACTTTATCCGTGAAAACTATTAAAAAAATAATTTCACACTTTTCAAAGAGCAGACTACTTTTTATATTTCACCCATGTGGTACCTCACTGTTAGTTTTGCTTACAATTCCTACTATATCAGGCCAGGTTAGAGCAAAACAAAGCTGAAACTAATTAATAACTTAAGTTACAAAAGTAATCAAATTCAATTAACAGATTACCAAATATCATCTATTTAATTTTTGTTTTCATTCATAACAGTCTAAAAATGACACTTCCTTCAATATACAAAACTTCTCTCGATTAAATCTAAGCATATTTAATTATCTTACGAGCAACAACTTTAATTCAATGTTTACAAGCAATGACAGTCATCAGCCAAAAACATTAGTAAACTACAAAAACAACTTTAAAAATGGCGGACTACTTGTTGCTTCGGATAGCCTAAAAATACTTCTGCCCGATTTAACGGATAAAGACTCGGCATCGTGTAACTTTTCATCCCCTAGAATCTTTTGTTTGATTTATAAAAACAAACATTCATACATGATTTTTGTCTAAAATAAATGATTTCATCAGCATCTAATGTTGATTTTTGAACTCCACTCTTCATGTATTATGAGAAATACGTCTAAAATTGAGGCTACCAGTAGGGAAAACAGATTTTATTATTCAAGTTAATATTAAGGAAATGTCATTAAATCTTGTATTTAAGCATAAACTAAAAGAAAATTTGTGGTTTGTGTAAGATGTAACTTTTTTTATCTAAGGAACTACCAAGCCAGTATGAGAATACTGTTTTTTAACCTCATGAGATGAAATAAAATTTCATTTTACACAAAAACAAACAAGTATCCTCTATATCTATACAAAATCGTACGAAGGAAATGCACTCTTATATCGTGATTTCCCTTTTCAAATTATATCAAAATAACCTAATATAGCCATGACGTTATCCTCTGTCACAATCTCCAAGGAGCCGCGTGCGATGAAATACAGAGCTGTAAGAATATCGCCCGGATGTATTAATGTATCGCCAGGGGGCGCGTGAGTTGTTTTAAACTGCAGAGATAAGGCACGAAGACATCCTGAAAAGGAAGCAATATACCTCAATAATTAAAACACTGGTGCAAAAGACAGTGTAATTATAACAATAAAAATGGTAAATCATCTAAATTCGTTCTACTGTGCCTCAGTGACTGACTTATGCCAATAAGCTTTTTTTTTATTTAAGAAGAAAACAAAGATGCAAATATCATATAAATATGTTTGCCATATTAATCAAAACAGATAGGGGGTCACGTTCATTCGCGATACATTATCGAATTCCTATCTCAGACTGTATTTAAAATCTTATATTTTAAACATTATTTCATATGTACAGAAGGAATAGATAAAGAGCAGGGATAAACAAGAGACAAATAATTTATTTTATTGTTAGAATATTTAGGAGAGATCAAATCATTGCAACCGAAACAGGTTTGTAAATAGCAAACATAATATATATATTAAATTAAAGTTATTATGTTATATCGTTACAACGTCCATCTTATTAATTTAAAATGTTACAATGTTTTACCCCCGTCAAACCGAACTTGAGATCTTACTGCGTTCAAAGGGCTATCTAGGTCGCAATGGTAACGCTACAAACGCCTTGGGGTCGAGTTGAGAACGACTTCAAAAATACCAAATTATTGGTTGTGGACGCCGAGGCACAATGTTGAATACATATATGCAAAAAACAAACGCCGTGGCTCGGCGTTTTCAGCGCGTTCATCACTGGACTGGAGCGCCCTTTGAACGCCCGGGTCGCAAGAGAAAAGCCGTGAACAACCCAATCGCGTACAGCCTAAGAACGTTAAGAACATATAGGAACATATTAACGGCATAAGAATTTCATTGGAACGCCCTATGAACGCCGTGTAAACGCAGTACAAAATTCAATTATGTTTTGGAAACGCCCAAAAGCAGGACGTCGTTATGACAGCTTGCCGAAATGCCCAATTCTCCAGAAAACGTCATCGGGATTCTAGTACAGCAGCGACGCCTATAAAAATAAATAATGAAAATTGATAATGAAAACAAACAACAGCGGTTTAGGTCGGTTAAAGAGATCCATATCGGTTTGACGGGGTATTATTTACATATACCTACCAGTAGATGCCTTTAGGAAGGCTGGACAATTATTCAGCAGGTTTCTATTAAGGTGAAGGCATATATCTGCTTGTAGGCACTCCGGAAAACTTTTCAAAACCTGAAACAACATATTCCAAATAAAATGCTTATAAACTTAAAAATACTGGTGTTGATCCAATAAAACTACTTTTAGATACTGTCTGATTAAAATGTAATGACTCGTGGGGCGTGGTCGGAAGCTTGAGTTTATCACTGTTGTTCATGTAAATAGTCAAACATACCGAGTGTTGAACATTTTTAAATTGCTATGTTGGCAGATCTTTTATGAATCCGTCTTTATTGTTTTATACATAACACAAAGCACTAGTTACTTGATACATATTTGTTTTATAGAATTGTTAACATACTTAGCTTGTTATTGATTGGTTTCAGATTCTTCCAAGTAACACCAAAATTACTAACCTGTATAAGGTGGCATTTACCTAAACGGTTCTTGATAACTAAACCAACATTAATATTTATTAGTAAAGAATTGCCATTCGCTCGAAATTGTTCATCCCCAAAGCCCCGTTTTATATACATGTATAGGTATCTAAGACAATTTAAGAATTTTGAATTAAGTCAATACTAAAGATCACCAAGGCGTATTTATGCAGCTTCATAACACTTGACTGAACGTTTCTTTCGAGATTTTTTAAACATTTGATATTAAAGAGTAACCCATTATTATTTTGGTAATAAACTAACGTCAAAGAATTTTTTTATAAGGCCCCATAATCCAAAACTTGGTTTACGCTGTGTGTACACATTTTCTAAATATGTTTAGATATGTTAACCATACAAAAAATATGTACAGTGTCAAATATGAAATACTGATAATCAATTTGTGTTTAGGTCGACACTGCTGCTACACAGTCGACACACTAATTTTGATTAATGGTTGCCAGGACGATAAAATAACTACATCCTATGCAGTGTATGTCCTCATCATCTTAAATGCATTTATGTATATTTCAAAATGAATACTCTTGTAGAGTAAGCATCATCGCTGTTAATATTCATCTCGATATTTGCAAGAAACAATATCTTCAGTAATACTTCATCACTAGAATAAAAAATAAAAATCGAACATTGACAAGAGAAGAGTCAAAGTAAAATTACAGAATACCGCCAATATTCATCTCTCAATCAAGCCAAATTGTATCAAATTACATATTATTATTGTTTCTTCCGTAAATAAAAAACACCGGGACGTACACTTGTGTGCAAAATTATGTGTGCTTATTTTGCAGTATAGCAATTATCTTGTCACGAAAGCATTAACAAAAGAGTTCATGGTGGTAATTTTCTTCCTCCAAAAGGTGAATAAAAAGACGATTTACTGGAAGACGGCAAGTCTTTTATATATTTGACAGCAAACTTTTGATCGACTAAGCTATGAAAAACTGTCGGAAACAATGCATTGGTGCTTGTTGAAAAAAATGCACCTCTTCTACTTTAAAGTGTAGCGAATGAAATATTTTTTATATTGTTTTGTCTTGATATATTAATTTTATGAAAATTGTTCAATTAAAAAAAGGTTCGGCAATGTTCAGAAATTTCTGGCAAATCTGTAACAAGTATTAAACACCCGAATTTAAACATTGTCATTGAATTGAAAATCTAATAAAATACAAGTTGTGAAACCACATAAGTATGAAAGGAAGATAAAAGCTGTGACTTGAATTGTCTAGTATAGTTTTATACTTGCCAGTTATCAGGTTATATATATCTTTGTACATAGGTTAACAAAGCGTGTATGTTTCATTAAATGTGTCTAGCCAACACAAGTCTTCACTTTATACGATAAGTGTATAATATCAGCTTGTTCCATTATTAACATAGATGATATCAACACAATAAAAATGCCTAGGAATGAAAAACAGGAAAAAGAACTTCTAGCAATGCTGTAACCTAAACTTTAGTGACTTTTTCTGCTGCTTTGTATTACACACATATTTCGATTAAGTGCGGACTTGATGTTTTCCGCATCATTGATTCCATTATCTCTTGTGTTAATAATAAGATTAATTAGCCTTTATATGAACAGACTCTAATCGGGCCTGCAAGTCTCACAGCATTTTGTTAATTTCATTGCTTCCGAAGGATCTACCCTTTTACAGATTATGATATCTCGCCATAAAGCTAAATGAAAGTAAGTGAACCATATTTGACAATTAGTTTCATATGACAAGTATGTTCAAGCATTAACTAATAAAAGACAATTTTAACAGATGCCAAACAAATATATTTCTATCGGTTTCATTTTTCATGCTTCAAATTTTCGTATGTATAAAAAATAATTTTCTGTCTTTATGCATATTCTATGCAGTTACTGCACGTAAAGTTTGCACACATTTTATTTTTTCCAGATAGTTCAAGAAATATAGATTCATATATGATATATAAATCTTTATTTGTTGGACAAACCGGTATTATTATATATCTTTACACGGAATTTTATCTAAGTTGTAACCCACCGTGTTCATGTCAATTCCATTTGTGTATGCCCAGGTGTGTTGAAATGACTCTTGAAGGCGATTTGCTAGATTCTTTGGTAGATGATGAAAGTTAATGAATTCTTTTATACTCTGCATTTTCTCGTGATACTCGTCCGTTCCCTGATAAACGCGCATCATGATAGAAGAAACGTTCCCAAATATTGCCGCACTTAGTAATGCTGCAAGAAATGTGTTTCCAATCAATTGTTTTTTTTTCCATGCGAAAAAAACTGGATATATGATAAGATGATTTACTTCAATGTACGTCCATTAGATATTGCATTTTTAAAAATCAAATAGATAAGCAACCTTGACTAGTTAAACTAATTCATGAATTACACCAGAAACGGGATTACCTTAACATTTATATAGCAATATTTATATTTAAAAACAAATGTTTTTATTATCAATCTGAGATTCTATATTTGTGGAAATTATTTAAGAAATGTCACTTACATCCAAGCATCATGGCAAATATTGAAAATATTTTCTCAGCATTTGTGTTAGGTGATACGTTTCCAAAACCGATTGACGTCAGTGACGTAAATGTGAAATATAACGCTGTTATGTAATACGTTTTAATACTTGGACCACTGTCCGTGACGTTGGCAACGTATGGTTCATTAATACTGTTAGCTAAAGTGTCTAACCATCCTAAAAATAGAGCATTGACTCATTGATTAGATTTCACATTGCAAGCTGGTCAGTTTGCTGATCTATTAAAAGAAAAAACGTATTACGACCTTTGCTAAATTCATTTTGTAATAGAAATACGAAAATCAATACATTAATTTATTCCTTGTTAGTTCATTATCATTTTCCAAATTACATTTGAGAATCCTTCAAGACAAAAAAGCACATGGATTATCCAGTACCGCATTACGTGATTATTTAAAAACGCATGTTTGCCTTTTCTAAAGATTGAAAAATGTAATTATTTCTGAGGCACAATGTGTCTTTAATTAAGGTTAAACATTTATTATTGTTAATCCCATCATTGGAATATTATTGGCACCTACCAATGGCATTATCGAGATGAGGCCGTTCCCAATATGCTATAGCATAGAAAACGCAAGCGAGCCAATGTCCCACGAGGGAGAATGTCACCATCAGTAAAAGTAGTACGGCAGCTCCGTATTCAGCAAACTGTTCTATACGCCTTATCACTCTCAGTAGGCGTAGTAATCTGGCAGTTTTCAAAATACCCGCAATAGTCATCGTCTAGAAAATCAGAAAAAAAGATACCCCGATAACTTACTTCAGATTCATAGAAATGAATTGATTTGTTGCATTGATATTCAAAATATTCGTCAGCAAAATACTAGATAACTGTTCAGCGACAGTTTTAATGATGACGAGAAAACTCCGTCGCAGCATTAATGTTTAATTTGTTTATTAATATGGTACGAGCAAATAAATAAATTACCGCTGTCCTCCCTAATAACACGACTCCAAACCCTCATTTAATATATGGATCTGGATGCTTTACTTGTAAAAAATGCCTATTAGATAGTTAATCCATACTTGGAATGAAAGAAGTTTATGAGAGGGACATTAAACACAGAAAAAAAAAACGAAAATCATCACGTCGCAGCCGGGACTCGAACAAAGGGATCTGGATTTCCGGTCCAGTATGCTATATATATTTAGGAGCGAGTTATAAATATTATGATTGTTATTACTTTTATACCTTGCAGACACAAGCAAATTATACTGCATACATCTAAGGCAGTAATTAAAAAGACAACCACAAACATCTCGCCCTTAAAAGATGCATCGAAATGACTGTAAAATCAGTTTCAGTGAGAAATCACATCAAGTTACAGGATCATGTGATTAGCAGAAGACATCTAAAATAGCGTTAATTTATTGCCGTGTCACATCGTGTTATCTGATTCCAATAAAGTGTCGGAATAATGAATGTTATTTATTAAGAAGATTTCTGGAAGACCAAAGTACGTTAATAAAACTTGTGCAAATCTCATAAATTTTGTCAGAATTTCGACCAAAGTGTAAAAAAGAATCTTTCATTTAGAACATTTAGATCATTTTCAAGTTCAATCTCTACCTCAGAATAATAATTTTATCCGATGTTTATATTCAAGAATGATCATTATCAGGATTTTGTTGAAATAAATGAAAAGCCACTACGTAACTGAAATAATTAAATGAAAAAATGGATAGGAAAGAAAATTTACATGTACATTTAGGGAGAAATCATAAGTTGTTTTCTTATCAAAAGCAATATTAAAAAGTTGCCGATTCGTTTATTTATGATTTGTGAACTTTAAAATAAGCTCTTCCCTGGAGGTATTGGTCGGATTTAATTAAAAAAGAGCAGATAATGAAATAATACTAGCAGTTTTTTACTTAAAAAGATCAACACAAAGCCCGAGGTTTCATTCATTATAGAAGTTCTTCCATTGGCTGAATAGTGAAAGAAAGATATTCAATCACAGATGGCATGCATTCATACATTCTTTTCATACCATTTCACTGACACTTGCTCTTGGGAGTACGGTGAATGGATAACTTTAAATAACCTTTCATAAACACACTACGTCTAGAAACGTTTGTATGCACTCATTGCTTTCAGTACTAAATAAAGATTGTGGCATTTTATTACTATCAACTCTTTATAAATGAACATTCAATCTATGGTTTTATTTTTTTTATTGATTTTCCCCTTTTTCTCTTTGCTTCTAATTATCCTTTTATTGAATATTTCGATTTTTGTCTATAACTTTCCTTTTTATAAACAGTACCTTACATATTATGTGTCTTATTACTATCACAGAAAAAAAATTCACTGCTCTCTTCGAAAAAAACCCACAAAATAAAAGTATTTTTATTGCTATACTTACGTCACTTGTTCCAGATCCAAATAAAAGAAGATCAAAGGGTACCGCCGCTATTGTATCAATGACAAACCACCCTTTCACGTAATTAATTGCTATTTTCTTCTGGTTGGTAACCACTTCGCCATTATGGAGATATGTGGTCCGAAAATTGATTAGAATGTCCGCAATAAACATAAGGTCAACAATGAGGTCAATGATCACAAGAGGATTGGCTGTAGAAGATTCCGGACTCTCTGTTCTCGTGACAGCATCTCGATTACGTTTCATTGTGGCATCCTCCTCGTTTAGTAGAAAGGCAGTCTGATACGGCGTGAATACAGCTGTATAGAGGACAAGTATCAACACTACCCAGTCCCAAACTGCTTTAAATGGACTAAATGAAACAAGAAAATTTATATGAATAGTACAATTGTTTGCAATATCAGGAAGAACTCATTTAGTTGCACAAATTAATTATACATATTTCATCCTAGTCGAGTATTTTGATCAAATTTCTGAACCGCTCTTAACTGTTTTTTTGATATGATATGAAATATAATGAAATACCTTCTGAAAGAAATCATTCATAAATAATTTAAATAAGGAGTATGATGTTCGAAATTCATTCAAACTAAATTTACGGTATTTTAATTGTATAAATACTTTAAATTAACTAATAAATAATAATGTAGTGATTGAACATAAAAGAATGCACAGACCATAAAGCATTCTGCACTACTTGTTCAGAAAAATCTTCAAATTTATATATAAAACATTTTATAATGATACAAATGCATTTCTTTTAAAGAACATTTGAATAACCGTTTAATAGTAACAATTCAATATGCATATGCATAAAGGAAACCATCAATTAAATGAAAAATAATTGAATGCAATACTGATTGAATTCGTGATGGTATCAATATGCTTGATATTACGGTATTACTCATTTGTTTATCACATCATATTCAATAATTCACCGAACGATTTTTATATTTTTATTTTTTGTTGGGTTTTACATCGCACCAACTCATAACAGGCAATATGGCGACTTTCCAGCGAAGACCTCAGGTGCCGTTCCGTGCATTATTTCAGGAAGGAACAAGTTTGTGAGTAGAATCACCGACGTACCATAAGGTATCTGGATAGTTCACATGAAAGAATCAATAGTCCATGTCGGATTGGAACCCACAGCGGTGATGGGCAAGTTGTTTGAAGTCAACGACCGTAACCATTCGGCCACGGACGCTCTTAAAATATGAATATATGAAGCTTAGTGAGGTAAACTGCTATTTGTTGATGACATAAAATAAATTCAATGTAACTTCATGTCTAAATATAATAAGCAAACGGGTAATTTACCTGTAATGTAATATAGTAAACTCTGGTTGTTGTCGCCTATATGCTGCACTGATATCTTGTACTGGGTCAAGGGTAGATGGCGAATCGGAACCACCAGACAATTCCTCACTCTTCGTGTCCTTAAAATAAATAACTTTCTACATTATCATTTTACAAATCTTTCCGGAGGCCGGTCTGTTTTCAGTTTGACTTCCTGTAAAATTTACAGGGAAGAACTGAATGAATGTTAACATTTCATTGGTCATTTTAAATTTACAATCTGAAATCTTGATATCTGACTGGCATTTATAAAATTAGTAAAGTAACAAAAATGATTGTTCTGACATGGTATTCGCGTCTAATTGTTCATTTGATCGAAACGAACTATCTACATTCATTAGTTCTTTTACTAGCAAGTTTGATTTCAAATACTGAAGTTATGTTAACCATGCCATCTCATACTCATAAGTTATATATTACCATGTACCCTCCTACAGATTATTTTACGCTGCTTTAACGAGTTATAAATTCTGTCAAACATTAACGAAACCACCACTTTCAATACATTTTCCATACAACAAATGTACAATCTTCAGTACATATACTTTTTAAAAAAACATGTTCATATAAGTAAACCATTTATACAGCCCCCTTCCTTCCACAATTATCTAGCCCGAAACAAAGAGACGAACAAACTTCAGAAAATGGTCTTTGGACGTTTAAAAAAACGACAAAGATAGGTAAAGATTGGTTCAGAGTAAAATCAAACAAAAACTATTTTTTGTTATGAAAATGAAGTTTGACAATTAATTCTTGCAGATATGTATTGTTCATTGGAAAATGTTTAACGATATAGCCATGAATTTATGAATTTCACGAACCTATGAAATTTTAATTCTAAACGAAACACAGTTTCTTCTTTTACGAATGTTAGTAGCTTAAGCTTTACCATGCGCCCTCCTACAGATTATTTTACTATCCCGGTTAAAAACAGTTAACAAATATTAACCCATTCTCGGACTTTTCAATGTTTCTTTACAAAAGTAATCGCCACCACGATTCAGGCAAAGGGCTGCTCTCCTGTTATAGACGTTCATCACTTCATTTGATAGCAGAAACTCAATATCACACTGTAATAAGATCACTGATGTGACAACAGTTAACAATTATTAACCCAGGATATTCATTACACCTCTCAACTGATACGTTTCTGAAGCAATAATTGTGTTCATTTAAAGTAGGAGATATAAATATCAAAAGAACATCGTAAATTCCTAGACATGGATATTAAAGTCAGCATAAGTTACCAAAACGAAATCAATACAATACAAAAAAGTCTGAATCTGAAAATTGTTATGTTATCCAATCAAAGTAAGGCATTCATCAATTCAAAACAAAATTTCTTTATCATTTTTAAATTTTTCTAAAGTTGATTCTAAAGAAAAATGAAACAGGGAAAAATGATCTAAGACAAAGACGTTGTTTTGCATACAGTATTTTGTACAATCTGCAAATAATTTGAATCTACATTATAATACCAATAAATTTCAAATTTCAATAATGTAGAGCGTGCATCAAACTGTTTAATTTAAATGGTACCTGTTAGGAGAAAGTGAAATACGGCAATAAAGTTCATAAACATGTAAGTAGAAACAGGTGAACTACTTATATATATAAGCCGAAAATCCTTGGATAAATATAACTTTATACCATTGAAAATATTGTTTATTTTGCAACTGTTAAAATCATAGTCTTTATAAATAAATAGCTCTTATTTAACGTTTTTTCTGTTTTTGTTTTGTTTTTGTGTGTTTTTTTTCAACCGATGTAATATCTTTTTTCTATTTCTTGTTCTCTTTTCAAAAACAGGGGAAGAGGAAAACAATATATAATGTGTTATATCAACACATTTCTGCAAAAAGAAAAAAGAAAACAAATATATGTTCAATATAATAATAAATAAATAAAGCACAACATTGTTGATCGAGGTATTAATGATTAGATAAATCTTATAGACATAAAGGAAACAAAGAAAGGGATAAAATACAAGTACATTAAATCAAACCATCGTATTCTAAAATATTTAGTTATTTCCATCCGTCAAAGAATCGACAAGAACGCCATTATGTTCGTTTTTCTCTCCAAAATTATTGATGCAAATATAAATGTCATGAATTTTCGATTAAGGAGCCGAAGATATTGTAATGAACATAACCAACAATTATTTAAGTACTAATAGATAAAGTACTATATAATAACAAGTTTAGTCTTTAAAATACTTTTTTTCAAGCGTGGCAATTAATAAGTTGTTTTGCCCGAGGTCTACACAAACAACGAAATCGATTCAGTTTCGTCGTGCACGTGACGGCCCATTCCATATTTATATTGTCATAAATATTTCCATAGTTGTTTTTGTAATTCTTTTGTAAGTTATGTCATCAAAATGAATACTTTTGTTTGATATTATAAAGGGTGATTCGGTGAAAGCAGTCTGCATTTATTTAAAAAAACTAATGCTCTCTGAATTTGTTTTTTTGTTGTTGTTTTTGTTGTTGTTGTTTTTGTTGTTGTTGTTTGTTGTTGTTGTTTTTGTTGTTGTTGTCTTTTGATGTGATTGTTTTTTTAAATAGTATGAAGTACCTTGGGTATCTCAAAGAAATACTCTGAACAAATGCATTAAAGTACTTTTCCATTATTATATACGGCTTTCTCCTCGACAGTTTGCGGTTGTTAAGCAAGATCAGTTAGCTTCAGAGCCTGTCCTCCGAGGTTGTTACGCGGCAACAAAACCAAAGGTTGTAGAATGATTATGAAAAAGTTGAAAGACTGTCTTTATAGTGACAAAACTGAACAAAATATTTTACATTTTTGTTAGAATCAATGTAAATAATTTTAAAATAATCATTGTTTTAAAAGAAAGAATCATACCTTTCGACGTACAATGCTTAAAACTCTTGATATCGCAGGTCTTGATTTCTGCATGACAACGAGCTTTTTATTTCTTTTCATGCCATAAAGGTTAATTTTTTTCACTCATATGCTAGCCTACATTATGTCATCAAATATATTGCATGTAGTTAGTCGTTCTTGTCATTGCAATGTTTATATTTTTATAGCATATATAAAAATTACACATTCTCAACAATTATGATAAAGCGATAATATAAGTTTCAAAAATTATATTTTTACACTTTTCGCAGTCACATACAATTTATAGGTAAACATCCAATTTTTGAAAACATAAAAACAAATCTATATCTCTTTGGAATACACGTAACTCCAAAAATATCATATATTTTATTCGCAAGTTTAATATCGATATTCAGTTTTGACGTTTAGCTCCCAGCATGTGTTAGTTCGTGAAATAAAATCAAGACACTTCACTGAGAAGCAGCAAACTGTTGCACATTCTACAATTTGGATAACTTTTGACTGAAGAAGAAAAACCGATAATGGAATATGAGCATTACTTTTAACTTTATCTTGACGCCCAAATATTTCAGCCTAAAACAAGAATGAATATTAATTTTCGCTTCCTTTTCTTTAAGTTTTAATTTGAAGATATTACTACTTGATCGTAATCCTTGTTGAAATAAGCAGATCTTAATTTGTTAAAGTCTTGGTCATATGATTTACAATGATAAGTAAAAATGAAATGTTCTGTTATATTTATGTTTGATACATTACATCGATTTTGATCTTTAGACCAGTTTATTTTCATACTTTTAGACGGAGAACGTAAATGAAATATTGACATTTTTATAAGCATTGTGGTAATAAAAAAATATTATAAATAACAGAATCAAAAACGAAGGTTTGTAAATTAAGGGTTTGGATTTGTCAATGAAAATGAATTCATACAACATGGTTATCAATGTCCAAAATGTTCCGGCATATGGCTACGATGTAGATACTATTGAAAACAACTTATATTAAAAAAAAATAGTAAAAAACAAACAATATGACATGATACACTAACGTCATTATATGATCTTAATATAGCTGCAATCTCATTGGTCCAAACAGTAGTCAACAGAAGTTTTTATACAATAATATTCACTGGATGATGTATTATATTCCCTGGCTAAAATTGGATTTTTCCAGTCTAAAAATAGATTGAGACTCATATTCAATGACCATATATCGTAGACTGTTAATTACACGTGATTATCAAAAAAAATAATTGTTGCGTTTTGTTCTTTATGGTATATTTCTCGATTCTTTATGGTATATTTCTCGATTAAAATATCATTACTTTACTATTTTAGTTAAACGTTACACCGCAATGATGAGTTTAAACTTGAATTACTTTTGTATGCGCAACGTTAGCGTAGTTGTTGCACGCCTTCCATGTGCGTCTTTTTTCCTGCGCTTCAACGATACAGACAAAAGCTGTACTTGTATAAGGTTGTACTTTCTGTGATTTTTAATTTTTTTTATAGCCTATTCATATAATAAAACAATTATTGACTAGTGTGCCATTAAATATGATGTGATATTCACCGGCAAAAAGTCATACTGACCTCGGCTTACGCCTCGGTCAATATGTCATCTGCCGGCAAATATCACATCATGTTCAATGGCTCACTAGTCAATAATTGTATATTACTATATATGATAATTATATCCATCTGATTGAAAATTTCACGTTCTTGAAATAAATATAACCAGCTACATCCGACTTTTTTCTTTTCTTTTCCTTTTTGTAAGGTTTGCCTAAATGCCTCAGAAATGCTATCATTTTTTTTTCAAAACCTGTTTATTTGTTTGATATTTTTTTCAGTTTCTAAAAACATGCTCATTTGATATATATATGATTTATTATTCTGTTGGAAATTGATATATTTAAAGTATGGAAGTAAAATACTATTTTCACATGTACAGCGCTACCCTTTTCAGCTGTTAAATATCTGACATGCTCTTAATCTATTATTTAACAATTATCTAATACGTGTTTATCATTTCTAAAGAATTAAAAGAAATATGGGTTTCTGAGGGGTAATGTGCCTTTAAGCTTTTTGACCACATTTGACCAAATGAAACAACTGATTTTAGTTCTTTAGTTTACATTGTATTCTAAACGCATTTTAATCTCTGGCACAGACTGATTCAATAACATTCTAAAAGGCTCATTATGCAAACAAAAAAATAAAAAAAATGATTTTATTTTCATTTATGTAAAGCATTTAATTTCTGGTGTTCCATTATAGTTTCCTAACGGTTACTCACTGGCCGAATACCAGCATCATCATTTGATTCGGTTGCTTTTAGGCAATTAGTACAGTTATAATGTTGTTTTTTTATTTTGTATGGAAGCAATAATACTACTTTAACATTTTGCTACTTTTAATTGATTCTGTGCCTTTATAAAAAGGAAAAAAATAGACCTTCAACATTGAAGTAATTGATTCAGAAGGACCAGGCAAATAGTAGCTAGTGTCTTTACTTTCCTTAATTCGTATTTTCCTCAAATCAGATAATTCATGTTATTTCTATGTTGACCGCCTGCTGCGTTGAAAACAAAATATGACGGTATAGTGTATAAAAGAATGTGTTAAAATAAGGAGTAAGCTTCAAGACTATGACATGTATGATTGTTCAGGGAATAACATATTTTTCGTCAATATCTTTACAGCAAAGCAACAGGAAATATGATTGTGTTGTTGATTTTTAAGAGCAGTTTTAACATTCCATCCAGACATTACACGGTTGGTTTCCATCAAAATATCGAATCGCATTGGATACTAAATACGGGACGTTCACCTATAGCATCGATCTACGATTTGGAGAAGAAAATCCGACATTAAGAGATGAACATCAGTCCAAGCGTCATCTTAATAGCTGATTAATTAAGCATGAATATTCATGTTCTTTTTTCCCATCTTTAAAATCACCCTTTTCTTCTTCAATAATTATGGTTCATTATTCATTATTCAATTCATTTCAAAATAAAGGACGATCATCGATGATTTTAATGTTTCCCTGTAGGATAAACTTAATATTCATGCTATTTTTGGTAGACTAAGTGTACACAGCTGATTTTACGAACTTAATTCAACATTCTGTTGGAATACAAATACAAATGCATGGGTTCAAATATTCATATATGTATCTATATGTGACAATGATTATTTGGCAGTTAAAATGTACATTAAAAAGTAGCTTTGTTTTGTTTGTTTGTTTCATTTTACGCCTTTTTCCAACAGTATTTCAGTCATATAGGCGGGTAGTTTCCTAACCATCGTTCCTGGAGAGTTACACCAGTACTAGACTACCTTCCTCCGCGCTAAACTACCAAAGCATCTCCCGGGGATCGAACCCACGCCAGAGAGGTAACTGGATTAGAAGTCATCGACTCAAACCCCTCGACCACGGAGGCGGTTAAAACAAAAATTATGTAAACGAAAAAGAATAGATAGTCTGTCGTTCTAACATGCTAATTGAAGTCATTTTATGAGGATATATTATACGAATGCCTGTTGCTTTAATATAATATAACAGTTATAAATTCCTTTAAAAATTTATAAAGCGGTATTTCATGTAAGTACTCTATATATTTGAGTGGAAATAATCATTTTGCTTATGTGGATTATATAAAGGGAAAAATAAAGGGAAAATTTGTCGTAAGGATTATATTGTAGATCATTTAAAGTTTCCTTATTTCTAAAAAAGCCCTTCTAATATCTAAGATTAAATTAAGCGGCAAGTTTGTTGAAATTTTGCATACAGGTGCATACAGGTGTCTTTTAAGATATATATCTAACTTATGTTGTCATATTTTGAGTTCCTTATAGTGCCCATTTGGATGGTCATACCGTAAGCTCCCAAACAGTGGTTTTGCTCTTTTATGTTCGTTTATTGATATCAGCTCAGTTTGCATATATACAAATAAAGAGCAAGAACATTTATTTATATAAATAAAACATATTGAGTCACAATGATGAACAGCATGCAATATCTCAGAGGACAACTTAAATCATGAGATTACATATGGTGAACATTATATAATATAGTATGCGATCTATTACATAATAAGAAAATGCGTAAAATTAACAGTACAGGAGAGAGTTATAATAAGAGTGACTAGATTTAAATATATGAAAATCAGTGTAAGAGATAGTATATAATCTAGAATTATACTACTAAGTAAATTCTGGAAAAAAAAAGAAAAGTATGCCCAGACACAGAGAAAGAAGACTTTATTGCTCTTCCATAGTTTACCTGTTTTACTAATTACTGATTGGTCAATATCTACCGTTAAAATTACGTCATGTGTAAGATTGATACGGGTCACTCCCTGTTTGTCCAGCCAGGTGAAAGTGTGTTATTAGGACAGACGCTCGTGTTTACATTTTGAATACAGGGTTGAAAATGCATGTGTTTTGTGTTACAAGTACAAAAAAGGAAAACGGAAAAAATAATTATTCAATATGGATTTATACATTGTCCAGCATTAATAAGCTTGAGGGTTTGACGGAATGTCATACACAGACTTTGGAGATAGGTGAGTTTACTGTACATGCATATTTATAATTTATTTTGAGAAAAAAAAGAAAAAGTGGGTGTGACTTTTCTTTAGTAATTACGCCGTTAAAATGACATGAGGCATTGCATGTTTTATAATTATATAAAATATTGTGAAACGAACAACAATATACATGTGTATTTACAAAATTAACTGAAAAATGTACATGATAATTTAAAAGTTGTTCAGCTTTGCAATTTGGTCCAGGTTTCATTTTTCTTTTCAGAACAGAGAACATAGCCTTATATTCTTGCTCTGCAATGTATTTTTAGCCTTTAAATAACTTTTTTGTTCTAGATAAATATACTCCCAAATACGTATATTCACTTGTAATTTCTAGATCAATTCCTTTGAATTTAAATGTTTTATAATTATTGTTTCTTGTACATAATATCAAAACCTTAGTGTTTGGGATATTTACCATTAATTTCCATGTGTCACAGTATTTTTCAAAAATATTTAAGCTTTTTTGGAGATCATCATCTTTATTACTCATTAGGACAGTATCATCAGCATAAAGAATGATAAAATGTTTTAAAAGAATTGATATATCCATATGATTTTTATATTCAATTCCATGAAGGCCACTTGTTTGCTTCCAAATAGTTTCCTAAATCATTTAAAAATATTGAGAACAGAAATTTTCACCTTGTCGTACACCATTTAAACATGGAATATATTCTTATTTTTATTCTTTTATTTACCAAATGTAGCCAGACAAGTATTTCTTTCCTATCTGATCTACAATTTTGTCCAAATCCTGATGTGTTGGTGTATTTATTTGTTCAATAGTTTTAATATCATTTATTATTTGTCAATATTGGTCAAATCTATGTTTGA